CAGGGATACAAGGACAAGGACACAAGAACATGGACTAGGACAAGGGGACTAGGACAAGGACAAGAACACAAGGACACCGGCACACCAGGACACAGTTATACAAGGACAAGGACACAAGAACATGGACTAGGACAAGGGGACTAGGACAAGGACAAAAACACAAGGACACTGGCACACCAGGACACAGGGATACAAGGACAAGGACACCAGAACAAGGACACAAGGACACAAGGACAAAGACAAGGACACAAGGACACAAGGACAAGACACTGCTGGCACAGAGAGAATGAAGAGAGAAGGAGGAAGCAGCAGGGCAGGAGACAGACAGATAAGAGAAAGAGAGGGTCAGGCGGAGACTGGTCTCACCCCACTGAAGTGTAGCGCTGCCCCCGACGCCACCGCCCCACACACGGTGCTCAGCTTGCCCCCGGTCAGCAGCAGCCAGTTGGCCGGCGAGGGGGGCCGACCAAAACTGTCCTTCAGCTGGGAGGGGAGGGTGACCTGGGGCTCATCGCAGTCCTCTCCCCCCCAGTCCGGGTCACACCTGCGGGAGGGGCGAGGCGAGGGGGCGTCAGTGTACAGGGCGCTGCCAGCACCAGGACAGACACTGTGCGCTCAGGAACACCGCCCGGCCTCGCCAGGAGACGCGCGGTCTTCGCCCAGCCAGTCAGGAGAAACGGTTTTTACAGTATGTAACTGGCACTCGTGTGAATGTGACTCGAAAAGCGGCTACAATAGGTGGAAGGAAAATTCTATCACATCTGACTGCAAATCACACTCGCAGCATCCAGACAACAGTGAAAAAGAGACGCTCCTGCTCTTACGTTCACACAAAAACTTGTCGAAAATGAAAACAAGTCGCCATTTCAAAAAGAACGAGCCCAGGCGGTACAGACTAGGCTCTGGGTTACTGCGGTCATTATTTCAATGTCATCCTGAGTATTTCACACTGGACTGATGGCACAATGGCGGTGAGATCACCTTCCATCTGGTTTTAAAATAGATAAGATAATATTTGCTGTCCTGGGTTTTTTTTTTGCGTACCTGCAAACGCAAAACAAAACACATAAGACGACAAAAGAAATTGATAACAAACCACTAGTTTCATGTCACTCAGGTCTCTGCCTTTTATTTCCATTTCCCTATGTAACTGTACTGATTTGTCCTTATATCCCCATACAGCATCCCTGCTTCCTGACGCCCCTGTGCTCCCCCAGTGTGGCTAATCCAGTCCCACAGACACTCACAGGCAGCTGTCCTGCTGGCAGCGCCCATGCCCGCTGCACATGTCTGGGCAGCCATCGCCAATGTACAGGTTGTCCAGAGCCCAGGTCTGCTGTTTGTCAAAGGGCGCTGGCTGGTACCAGCGAAACCGGGTGGCAGGCGACCTGTTGGCGCAAGCAGAAGGCGGTGAGATTTGATCAGCACGGTGCTGTTTCTCCCAGCGGGCGAGACAGGGTAGTGCTTTCATGAGCATGGGTCTCACTGCAAGTCTCATTGCAGGAGCAATCGCCAAAGGACAAAAACATGTATTTGTTCCCAGGCAAATAAACAGAAACCTGATCCCACAACACTCTGTATCGTCAGAGTGATCTGAAGAACAAGCAAGAAGACAGCTGACTCTAGCTCTGATATTTTCTACCTACATCCAACAAGTCATTTCCAAGTTGTAAAGCAATTGGTATGCAATGGGTTGCTCACCTACAGGAGCTTTTCTTTTAAATGAGGTTTAGTGGGGAGGATAACTCTCAGGACACAGGAATATGGAAAAGCCCCAACTTTACTTACAGCTGCTGTCGTGGAGCAGATAAACTGACTTCCACCCTGCAATCTTCTCTTGGATAGATTACTACCCAGCACTCTGCCTCCAAAACTGAACAGCACGACAGCCACAGAGCAGCAGAAACGTTAATCTCTCAGCTTCTCTGTCCTGACTTCTGACCTTCCCTTGTTCCTGCTGTCCTGTCTGGATCTCACAGCACTTCTTCATCCTTTCACTGACACTGACTGATGTTTCTGCGTCTTCACCCTCTGCCTCCTGCCCTGGAGCTCAAGTGTCTGGCAATGGCCAGGGGCACAGAGGCACTGACCTGGCGTAGGGGGGAATGGGCAGGGTGACGCGCCCCCACTTGTTGTAGGTGTCGGACACCAGCACCCTCTGCAGGCTGTAGCTGGAGCAGTCCAGGCTGGTGGGCAGGCAGTCTCTCAGCAGGGGCTGCCAGGACATGCCCAGATCCAGGGAGAACTCCAGCTCGATGGCTGCACGCAGGGGCAGACACCAAGGGCAGCAGGAGCAGACAAGACAGGAAACCACAGGTTGCAGAAGACATTGCCACAGCTGCTCTCTCCCTCTTTCAGCTCTGCTCTCCTCCCTTCCTCCCCCTCTACTCTCTGTCTTAATGTCTCCCTCTCATGGCCCTCTACCCCTCCCACACCCCTTCTTTGTTCCTCTC